TTAATAAACAGTGTTAATGAGCAGTGTTAATGAGCAGTGTTAAAGAATACTGTTAATGAGCAGTGTTAATGAGCAGTGTTAATGAATACTGTTAATGAACAGTGTTAATTAACAGTGTTAATAAACAGTGTTAATGAACAGTGTTAATGAGCAGTGTTAATGAGCAGTGTTAAAGAATACTGTTAATGAGCAGTGTTAATGAGCAGTGTTAATGAATACTGTTAATGAACAGTGTTAATTAACAGTGTTAATAAACAGTGTTAATGAACAGTGTTAATGAGCAGTGTTAATGAGCAGTGTTAATGAACAGAGTTAATGAACAGTGTTAATGAATACTGTTAATGAACAGTGTTAATAAACAGTGTTAATGAATACTGTTATTGAGCAGTGTTAATGAATACTGTTAATGAGCAGTGTTAATAAACAGTGTTAATGAACAGTGTTAATGAGCAGTGTTAATGAGCAGTGTTAATGAACAGAGTTAATGAACAGTGTTAATGAATACTGTTAATGAACAGTGTTAATAAACAGTGTTAATGAATACTGTTATTGAGCAGTGTTAATGAATACTGTTAATGAACAGTGTTAATAAACAGTGTTAATGAACAGTGTTAATGAGCAGTGTTAATGAGCAGTGTTAATAAACAGTGTTAATGAACAGTGTTAATGAGCAGTGTTAATGAGCAGTGTTAATAAAAAGTGTTAATAAACAGTGTTAATAAACAGTGTTAATGAACAGTGTTAATAAATAGTGAAAAACCATAAAGTACGATTAGATGTTTCACAGGATCAGTGGTTAACACCAACACCTAAGAGCAAAAAGGTCCTGGGTTCGATCCCCGGTTTGGATCTGGGGTCTTTCTGTGTGGAGTTTGCATGTTCTCCTTGTGCTTGTGTGGGTTTTCTCTGGGTGTTTCCCCACATAAACATGTACAACAGGTTGTGTTCAGGCCTTCCTTAAAAAAAGAGATCTGAGATCTCAACAGGAGTCACCTGGTTAAACAACAGTAAATATGATACAATATTTTATAAAAGATAACAAGGAAATTAATGATCAGAATGAAAAAGTAAATTAATTCCATCAATACTACGTATGTGAATGTTGGCTCAAGTCTTGCAGCTAAAATTAAAGTAGACAATGTTGAGAGATAAGGAATAAAAACGTCTTAGACAAAAGATCAAAAGGTTGGATTGACATGGATCTGATGTTTGTAAAGGATGTAATGAGTGATGTTATAGAACCATTTTTATTTATATATCAGGTGGAGGTGTGAAGGGGTGGAGCTAAGAAGGAACAAAGGTGTGAAGGGGTGGAGCTTACAGGGAACTCAGGTGTAGGCTGCTGCACAGTCACAGGTAGAGAATCTCTGCTGATCCCCACTGAATCCACACTGAAACTCCTAGCCCCCCGTCCACGACCTGCCATCACTGCAGCCCCTCAGAACCAGACCAGGATTCTGTCAGACCGGACCAGGTCAGGGTTTTCTGCAGAACAAACAGAGTCAGGTTAAGGGTTTGGGTTTTACACTTCAGAGACCATCAGAGTCCACAAGATGGACCACTCAGGTTTCCCCTACATGTAAATGATGGAACAACACATATTTTTCTAACAGAGGTATAACTAGTTATAGAGAGCTGTAAAGGTTAGGGTTAGTGCATGTTCTCTCTGTGCAGGTGTGGGTTTTCTCCAGGTACTCCAGCTTCCTCCCACAGACCAAAAACATGACTGTTAGGTTAACTGATAACTGTCTCTAGGTGTGTCTCTGTGATGGACTGAGACAAGTCCAGGTGTCTCTGTGATGGACTGAGACATGTCCAGGTGTGTCTGTGATGGACTGAGACATGTCCAGGTGTGTCTGTGATGGACTGAGACATGTCCAGGTGTGTCTGTGATGGACTGAGACATGTCCAGGGGTGTCTGTGATGGACTGAGACATGTCCAGGTGTGTCTGTGATGGA